GAGTTTCGACGACTCATCGCATTTATAATTTGTCCATGTGAAAATTAATATATTCATTCAGTGACACATACTACTTCTGGGCCGCCTGTGGTATCAGGAACTTTTTTCACTTTACCATAGTCAGTAATAAAGAATAGAATTGCCATTATCAATGTAATCTGCGCATGGATAACAATTGATACTAATTACTCTGTGGCTCAAAAAAGTAAGATGTCCTCCATGAAGTAGGATTTTCTAATTTGCGTTTCAAGAAAAGAACAGAAAATTAAATGCTTCATTTCATAATAAAATTAAGAATAAAAAACAAAATAACTCAGCCTGATGTTTATTTGATTATGGGTAACCTAATTTTATTTTGCTTTCCTTGAGAAATGGTTAATTTCTTGCATTTATGTTGTTAAAAAAAATTGTAGTTAGTTTCCATGTGTCAAATTTTCTTCCTATCGCAACGCGGAAAATGGAAATATATATGTTATGTCATCTTCCCTAGGGATGTGTAATCCTGAAACACCACAAGAACAACGTCAATCGTTTGACCACAAATAAAGGAATACAATTTCTCTGAGAGATGAAAAAACAACGTACCCTTTCACTTTCCACTGCCCTTTTTGCAGAATGACGACTTGTTGCTCAAGAATAGAATGCGATACAGGGTCTTTAACCGCCGCCCGGTTAGCTCAATGGGATAAGCTCCGGTCGGCAGAGCGGGAGGTCGCGGGTTCAAACCCCGGCCGGACCAACACTCAGGGTCGTTAAATAACTGACGAGAAAGTGCTGCCTTTGCAATAACATCTGCAGACGGTTAGACTTTCTAGTCTTCTCGGATTAGGACGATAAACCGTAGGCCCCGTCTAACAAGCCCTTGCAGATGTCATAAATCTGTGGGACGTTAAAGAACCCACACACTCTTCGTAAAGAGTAGAGCACGTAGTGCCCGGTGTAGTGGTCTATCTCTTCGAATAAAGGTTGGTTTTTTATCCTGACTATCCTACATTCATACCAACAAAACATTCTACATTAAACAATGTTTTAAAAAGAGACAAAAAAAACCTGAAAATTGGAAAACAAGTTTTCACAGGAAATTCAATAAGCTTTAAACTATTTCATAGTATTTGTATTATTTGCCACACGATTACAATTACAAAAAGATGCCAAAAAAAATGTAGGAAGAAATGGCGAGGAGGCCCAAAGGAAACTATAAACCTTATGTTAATTAGGCCTCCTCAATTACAATTTTCACTTAATTTGCAATAAACCTTTGTTCTTAAACCACTGCAAGTAAGACCCCTGAACGTAAGACCCGTGGATGTAAGACATCTGAATGTAAGATCACCGGAGTCATAAGACCCCGTGTTGTAAGACACTAAGACCAATGAATATAAGACCTGTGGATGTAAGACCGCTAAACTTAAAACACCTGGTCGTAAGACCTCTAAACGTAAGACCCATGGATGTAACATGTAACCCATGGTTGTTAGACCCTTCAAAGTCATATCCCTGAATGCAAGAGCCCTAGATGTAAGAGACCTGAATGTAAGACCTCTGGATATAAGACCTCTGGTTGTAAGGCCGCTGAACTTAAGACCCCTGCACGTAAAACCCCTGGATGTAAGACCCCTTGCTGTTAGACACTTAACCAGGGGTCTTACATCCAGGGTTCTTCCATCTAGAGTTCTTTCATCCAGGGGTTTTACTTACAGGAGTTCTTACGTTCAGCGATCTTACAACCAGGGGTCTTATATGCAGGGTCTTACGTTCAGGTCTCTTAGGGCTAAGTGTCTTACAACTAGGGTTCTTACTTCCATAAGTTCTACGTTCAGGAGTCTAACAACCAGGGGTCTTATGACTCCGGGGTCTTACGTCCAGCGATCGTACATCCAGATGTCCTACAACTAGAGATTTTATATTCAGAGGTCGTAAGGTTGTACGACCACCGAACGTAAGACCCCTAATACCCTACATATAAACCGCTGAGCGTAGGAACCCTGGATACAAGACCCCAGAACGTAAGAGCTCAGGATGTAAAGGTTGATTTCCACTGATGTGTTGGATCATTATCAACAGCTGGGCAAACCCCCGTACATAAAAATGAGCCAAGGATATAAGAATAACCCCCTTCAATAAATCACCCCGCTTAAATAGCCACTTTTAACACCCCTGGATGTAAAGATTTTACAGCCCCTGGACCCCTGGTTTTAAGACTATTTTTTACCCCTGGATGTAAGACCCCAGGATATAAGAATTTTACAACCCTTGGTTTTAGTACCCTGGATTTAACCCCCTGCAAGTTAGAATTCTACAACCTGAGTGTTTTACGGCCGACTAATTAGTAATGTAACAACACCTCCTGGATTTAACAGAATTTATGGAATCAATTCCACGGGAGTTTGCCCAGCTGTTGATAATCATCCTAGAATTCTAACTTCTTATAACCATGGGTTCTTACAACAAGGGATGTTACAGCCACGGGTCTTACAACCAGGGGTATTACGAAAAGGGGTTCTTACAACCATGGCTTGTTACAACAAGGGGTCTTTTAACCAAGGGTTCTTACAACCGGGGTTTTACTAATGAGATTCTCACAACAAACGGTCTTACAACCGGGGATTCTTACAACCAGGTTTCTTACAATCAGGAGTCTCACATGTACAACCAGGGCTTGTTACATCCAGGAGTCTTACCACCAGGGGTTCTTACAAGCATGGTTTCTTATAACAAGCGGTCTAACAAGCAAGCGTTCTTATAACCATGTCTTACAACCATGTGTCATGTGTAACTAGGGTCTTCATCCATAAGTTCTTACATCCAGGAATGTTACAACCAGGGGTATTACTACCAAGAGTCTTAAAACCAGGGATTCTTACATCCAAGGGCGATACAACGATGAGTCGTACAACCATGGGTTCTTACATCCAGGAATCTTAAAACCAGGAGTTCTGACAACCAAGGGTTCTTACAACAAGGGGTCTTACAACCAGGGGTTGCAAACGTGTCTCGTTAATTGCAACAAGTCATCGGAAACGTACCTACCCCGTGGTGTCCAGCAGGGAACGATTTTAGGGGCTCTTTCCTTTTTACAATATAGAAATGACCTTCCGAATTGTTTCATGCATTCACAACCTAGAATGTATGCTGACGACACTAGTATTACCTATGCGAACAATGATTTTGAAGAAATAGAGCGTTGTGTTAACATAGATTTAGATAGAATTCGTATAATATTGCTTGCAGCGAACAAACGTGCACTAAACACGACTAAGACAGAATTTTTTGGGTCTAGGCAAAGACTGTTAAAACTAGAAAGGAATCCCATAATTGAATAATCTTTCTTGGGAGTGTCATATTAACGAAATCTCTAAAAAGATTGCTTCTAGAATAAGTGCGATTAAGCGTATTAAGTATTTTCTTCCTTTGAGATTCTACTTAACGTAAACCATTCACTGGTACAGCCACAGTTTGACTACTGTAATACAGTATGGGGAAATTGTTCTGAG